AATAATGTATAGTCTCTGCTTAAATAGCTGTCTATTTCACAGGGGGCGGGGGGGTAATCTGTGTAAGAGGGCCAGATCTCTCCTGCATGGTGTAGTCTGCAACTCTGTGTGTGAGCTAAGTCTGGACAGCACCTTGAATCCCACTTGTTTTACCCTTAACTTCCTGTTTTAATGGCCTCAGTGAGATAGGGCCCTAGGGCCTAGTGTACTTTGTCTCCCTGTGGGGAGTTAAAAATTGGCCCTTTTATGCATTAGCCTTGCTTTCTTACTCTTGCAAAAAAAGAAAAAGAAAAAGAAAAAAGAAAAGAAAAGAAAAGAAAAGAAGGAAGGAAGGAAGGAAGGAAGGAAGGAAGGAAGGAAGGAAGGAAGGAAGGAAGGAAGGAAGGAAGGAAAGGAAAGGAAAAGGAAAGGAAAGGAAAGGAAAGGAAAGGAAAGGAAAGGAAAGGAAAGGAAAGGAAAGGAAAGGAAAGGAAAGGAAAGAAAAAAGGAAAGGAAGGAAAGAAATAAAAAAGAAATAAAAGTCCCCCTGTTGTTTGTTAAATCTGCCCAGCTGGTTGTGCACATCTTCCCAGCTCCTCCAGGTGTGGGGGGGTTGGGTTCAATTTTCCCCTTCTGGTGGTTCCACCAAGGCAGGGGGCTCAGTCTAGCCTACAATAATCAGAAGTACACAGTTCCTAGCCCACTTCCCTCAGAGCATTCTGCAGCCCACACTCTCCACTCTTCACCATTGCACCAGCCTGGGGCTGAGAAACCAACTCATTTTGAACCCTTTGATAAATCTGCCAGAGGCAATGAGTGGGAGCAAATTGCACCCACAATCCCTCTTTGATGGCCAGGCAGCTGCCCATGTGAGGTGTCTGCCCAATGTGCTTCAGCTGCCTTTTTGAAAAAAGTCCCTGTGGGCACTTCTACCACTCCAAGACACTTCCCAGTTTTCCACACATTCCAGCTCTCTGGAAATTTAAGAGTCTACATTTTTCATGGCCAGTTGTAATCCTCCTCTTCTCCAGCTCCAGATGCAGCCAGAATTTCCCCTACTCTCTGTCACTGCCCCGGCTGGTGACCACTGACCCAGCTTGGGTGCACCAGTAACTGTGTGCAGCCTGTTTCTCCTCAGCAACTTTGTGCATTCAAGTCATTCCTGGCACAGGTCTGTGGTTTCACTGCTCTGGAAGGGGAGGTAGCTGCTAAGCTGCTATCCGTGACCTGGCTCTTCTCTGATGTTGTCCACACTTCAGCAGTGGTTTCTGGTGACACATCTCAGGACTTTCCCCGTCCACTTATAAAACCTCTTTACTGCCTATTTTGAGGCATCCTCTACACACTTTGGCTTCCATACCTCATAGCAGCCAAGATTGTGTGACTGTTCAGTTTGTCTTTCAGAAGATCAGCTAAGAGTCCCAACTGAGTTCACAAGCAAGTGGGCTCAGCTCCCACCTACTTCACAGACATCTTCTGCTGCCTGCCCACGGCGTTTTTATTCATTCATCTACTGATGGACACTTGGGCTGCTTCTAAACCTTGGCTATTGTAAATAATGCTGCAATGAATATAGGTGTGCGTATATTCCTTCAAATTTATGTGTCAGGTTTATTTTAATATACTCTCAGAAGTGCAATTTCTGGGTCATACAGGAGTTCCATTTTTAATTTTTTGAAGTAACTTCATATAGCTTTCCACAGTGGCTGCACCAATCTGCATTTTCACCAACAGTACATGCAAGTTCACTTTTCTCCACATCCTAGCCAGCACTTGTTGTTTGTTGATATATTGATCATCACCATTCTAACAGGTGTGTGGTGGTATCTCATGGTGGTTTTAATTTGCATTTCTCTGATGATTAGTAATATTGTACATTTTTCATATGTTTATAGGTAATCTTTATGTCTTCTTGGGGAAGTGTCTATTGAGGTCCTTTGCCCATTTTTAATAGGATTGGGATTTTTTTTTGAGTTTTATACATTCTTTGTAAATTTTGGTTATTAACCCCTTATCAGATGTATCATTGGCAAATACATTCTCCCATTCAATGGGGTTTCTTTTTATTTTGTTAATGAATTCCTTTGCTGTGCAAAAAGTCTTAGATAGATATAGTTCCATTTTTCAATTTTTCTTTTTGTTTCCCTTGTCCAAGAAAAAAATATTCCTATGATAAATGTCTGAGATATTATGCATAAGTTTTCTTCTAGGATTTTTATGGTTTCAAGTTTAACATTTCAGTACTTAATTTATTTTTAATTATCTTGCATATGGTGTAAGAAGGTGTTCTAATTTAATTTTTGCATGTGTCTGCCCTATTCTCCCAACATCATTTATTGAATAAGAATATTCTTATTCCACTGAATGATTTTTGCCTCCGTTGTCAAATATTAATTGACTGTAAAGGCATGGATTTATTTCTATGCTCACTATTCTGTTCTTTGGATCTATATGTCTGTTTTGATTTCAATACCATGCTGTTTTGATTACTATGGCCTTATATTATAGTTTGATATCAGGTAGCATAATACCTCCAACTTGTCCTTCTTTCTTTAGATGGCTGTTACTATTCAAGATCTTGTATGGTTCCATATAAGTTTGGGGATTATTGGGGATATTTGTTGTACTACTGTGAAATATGCCATTGATATCTTGATAGTAATTGCACTGAATCTATAGATTGCTTTGGGTAGTATGGGCATTTTAATGATAAGTCTTTCTATTCATAAATATGGTATATGCTTCCACTTATTCATATCTTCTTTGATTTCTTTCTTCATGGCCTTATAATTTTCCAAATACAGGTCTTTTACTTCCTTAGTTAAATTTATTTCTAGGTATTCTATTGTTTTTGAAGCATTTGTGAATGGAATATTTTTAAAGATTCCTTTTCTGATAGTTTATAATTGGTGTATAAAAATGAAATTGATTTCTGGATATTTCTTTTGTACCCTGCTAGTTTACTGACTTCATTTACCATTCTAGTAGTTTTTTGGTGGACTCTATAGGATTCTCTATATACAGTACCATATAATTTGCAAATAATGACAGTTTTACTTCTTCTTTTCAAGTTTGGGTGACTTGTATTTCTTATTTTTGTCTGACTGATGTGGCTAGGAGTTCCAGTTTTATATTGATTTTGAGTGGTGAAACCAGACATCCTTGTCTTATTCCCAGTTTTAAGGGAAACACTTCTGGGTTTTGTCCATTGAATATGATGTTGGTATTGGTTTGTCATAATAGGCTGTTATTAAGTTGAGCTATGTTCCATCTATTCCCACTTTGTTGAGAGTTTTTATCATAATGGGTGTTGGATTTTACTGAATACTTTCTCTGCATCTATTGATATGATCATGTGGTTTTTATTGTTCATTTTGTTCATGTGGTGTATAGGGATTATTGATTTGCAGAAATTGTATGGGTTGGCCAGAGGGTTCATTCAGTTTTGTCTGTAAGATGGCTTTAGTAGAGCTTATTGTCTTTAACTTCACTCTAATTTGTCAAGTTATATTTTGACAGCTGTTATATCAACATGCATTTAAAAATGCTTATCAAAATTGATTTTTGTGTAGCTATTTTAATATTGAAGATGGAAGAAAATGAGCAGCAATTCTGGCATATTATGCTTTATTATTTCAATAAGGGTAAAAGCACAACTAAAACACACCAAAAATGTGCAGAATATGGAGAATGTGCTGTGATTGATTGAATGTGTTAAAGGTAGTTTGTGAAGTTTTGTGCTTGAGATTTCTTGCTGGACAATGCTCCACAGTTAGGTAAATCAGTTGAAGTTGACAGCAATTGAATCAAGACATTAATTGGAAACAATCAATGTTATACCATGTAGGTGGCCTTGGCTGGTGTTACTCAATGGATTGAGTCCTGGCCTTCAAACCAAAAGTTCGCCAATTTAATTCCCAGTCAGGGCACATGCCTGGGTTGCCATCCAGGTCCCCAGTAGGGGGTGTATAAGAGCCAACCAATGATTGATGTTTCTATCCCTCTTTTTCTTCCTCCTTCCCCTTCTCTCTAAAAATAAACAAATAAAAATCCTTTTAAAAATGGTTATAACTAGTTCCAGTCAAGATGGAAGTGGCATAAGTAGAAACCCTTCTCTTCCTCACACAATCAAAAGGAGGATAACAACCAATCTAAAATCAATAAACAACCAAAAGTGCCAGAAAAACAAACTGCAGGGAACTCCAACAACCAACTAATTAAAGAAAAATCAACCAGAACAACCAGACTGGTAATATGGTCAACACTGTAGGCCATGGAGGCAGGGCTGGCTGCCGAGCTCCATGTTGTACAGGAGGGGCTGACTTAAGGGGAAAACTGAGACTCAGAGCTGACCGTGGGCTACAGGTGGGGTTGCCACTGTGGGAGAAATATCCAGTCTCACACAAGAGTTTGTTGAAAAGTGCACTAGAGACTAGTGGACCACACAGTTCCCTCTCTGCCCCCTCCTCCACAGGCAGGGCCACAGCGCAACAAAGAGGGTTGCCTGGTCCGAGTGAATACCTAAGGCCCTGACCCCTTACAACACATCAGCTGCACCAAGACAAAGAAATATGGCCCAGATGAAAGAACAGAGAAAAGCCTCAGAAAGAAAACTAAGTGAGGAGGAAGTTGCCAACCTATCGAATGGAGAGTTCAAAGCTCTGGTAATAAAAATGCTCACAGAACTGATTGAGCTTGGTCAGAAAAAAAAATGAAGGATATCCAAAGTGAAATAAAGCAAACTATTCAGGGAACCAACAGTGACAGGAAGGAAACCAGGACTCAAAATAACGATTTGGAACAAAAGAAAGAAATGGACATACATCCAAAAGAAAAAGAAGAAACAAGAATTCAAAAAAAATGAAGAGACTTAGGAATCTCTGAGACAACTTGAAACATTCCAATATCTGAATTATGGGAGTGCCAGAAGGAGAACAACAGCAAGGAATTGAAAACTTACTTGAACAAATAATGAGGGAAAGCTTCCCCAATCTCGGTGAAGGAAATAGACTTCCAAGAAGTTCAGGAAGCCCTGAGAGTTCCAAAGAAGTTGGGCCCAAACAGGAACACACCAAGGCACATCTTAAATTACCCAAGATTAAAGGCATAGAGAAAATCCTAAAAGAAGCAAGGAGAAAGGAGAGAGTTACCTACAAAGGAGTTCCCATGAGGATATGACCCAATTTCTCAAAAGAAACACTGCAGGCAAGAAGAGGCTGGGAAGAAGTATTCCAAGTCATGAAAGGCAAGGACCTACATCCAAGATTGCTCTATCCAGCAAAGCTTTCATTTAAAATGGAAGGGCAGATAAGGTGCTTCCAAGATAATGTCAAATTAAAGGAGTTCATCATCACCAATCCATTATTATATGAAATGTTGAAGGGACTTATCTAAGAGAGATAAAAAATATGAACATGAAAATGACAACAAACTCACAGCTATCGACAAAGGAACCTAAAAGAAAAGAAAAACAACAAAAGCAAAAACTACGCAAACAACCAGAATAGAAACAGAAACATAGAAATGGACATCACATGGAGGGATTTCAGTGGGGAGGGAGAAGGAAGGAATAGGGGAGGGAAGGTACAGGAAAGAAGAAGCATAATTAGTAGGCATAAAATATATGAGGAGAGATAAAAAGTGGTATAGGAAACAGATGACTCAAAAAATTTATATGTATAACCTATGGACATGAACTAAGGCAGGGAAATGCTGGAGGGTTGGGGGTGCAGGGTGGAGGAGGGATAAAGGGGGGAATATTGGGAAAACTATAATAGCATAATCAATAAAAACTTTAAAAAATGGTTATACCATGCAGAAGGAGATAGCTGGCATAGCCAAAATACCCAAATCAAGCATTGAAAATAATTTGTACCAGCTTGGTTATGTTAATCACTTTGATGTTTGGGTTCCACATAAGTGAAATAAACCTTCTTGAAGAGTAAGGGTCAAGTCAAGGAACATGTATAAAGGACCCCTGGACAAGGACAATGGGAGGGGAGTGGGCAAGGCAGAGGAAGGTAAAGGGGGAAATGGGGACAATTGTAATTGAACAACAATAAACAAATAGATAAATAAATAAATTTCTATTAAAAAAAACCTTCTTGACCTTATTTCCACATATAACTCTGTACTTAAATGTAATGAAAATGTTCCATTTCTAAAACCAAATTCTTATGGGTAATGAAAACTGGACACTTTACAATAATGTAGAACAGAAGAGACTGTGGGGCAAATGAAATGGACCATGACCAATCACACAAAAGATTGATCTACATCCAAAGAAGGTGATGTTGTGTGTATGGTGGGATTGAAGGGAGTCTTCTATTATGGGCTCCTTCTGGAAAACTGAACAATTAATTTCAACAAGTATTGCTCTCATAGACCAAATGAAACCAGCAATTGTTGAAAAGCATCCAGAAATAGTTGTCAGAAAATGCATAATCTTCCATCATGATAAATGCAAGACTGCATGTTTTCTCATTGCCGGGCAAAAACTGTTACAGCTTGGCTGGGAAGTTCTGATTCATCTGCCATATTCACCAGACATTTGCATCTTCAGACTGCCATAAATTATACTCTAGAAAATTCTCTTAATGGGAAATATTTCAATTCCCTGGAAGACTGAAAAGGGCACCTGGAACAATTCTTTGCTTAAAAGATAAAAATTTGGGGGCAAATGGAATTATAAAGTTGCCTGAAAAATAGCAGAAGGTAGTGGAACAAAATTATGAATTTATTTCTCAATAAAGTTATTGGTGAAAATGAAAAATGTGTCTTATTTTTACATAAAAACCAAGCAAACATTTTGACCAACCCAATACCAACTTTCCATCTCCAAGATAAATCCCACTTGATCATGGTGTGTGACATTTTTATGTATTATTGGTTCAGGTTTGGTAATATTTTTTGAGGATTTCAGCATCTATGTTCATCAGGGATATTAGCTTATAATTTTTTTTAATGTAGTGTCTTTATTTGGTAGTGGAATTAAGATAATGCTGGTCTCATAAAATGAGCTGGAGAGTTTTCCCTCCTCCTGAATTTTAGAATAGTTTGAGAAGGATAGGTGTTAGTTCCTTGAATTTAGGTAAAATTCAACTGTGAAGCTCTCCAGGAAGATCGTATGTTTATTGGAATTTATCAATTTCATCCAAATTCCCCAATATGTTGGTACATAATTATCCATATTTTCTTATACTCCCCTGTATTTCTTTTTTAAATTTTTTAAATACTTTATTTATATACTTCTTAGAAAGAGGGGAATGGGGGAGAAATAGAGGGGGAGAAACATCAAAACGCAAGAAAGACATTGACTGGTTGCTTCACTCACACCCACAACCTGGAAAACAGCCTGCAACCCAGGCATGTGCCCTGACAAAGAATCGAACATATGTCCTTTTGGTTCAAAGGCCAGTGATCAGTCCACTGAGCCACACCAACCAGGGATCCTTTGTATTTATTTGGTGCCAGTTGTTACTCTTCCTCTTTCATTTCTGATTTTATTTATTGGGGTTCTCTATCTCATTTTTTTCTAGATGAGTCTTGTTATAGGTTTGTCAACCATGTTGATTCCTTTTTTTAAACCAGCTCTTGGTTTCATTTATCTTTTGCATTGTTTTTTAAACTCTATTTCATTAGTATCTACTCTGATATTTCTTAATTCCATTATTCTGCTCACTTTAGGCTTTGTTTGTTGTTCACTTCTAAGTTACTTTAAGTGTAAAATTTACATTGATTATTTGAGATTTTTCTGTTTTTGGGTTTTTTTTTGAGATAGGACTGTAATGATATCAATTTCCCCTTTAGAACTTCTTTTACAGTGCCCCATAGATTTTGGGTTGTTGTGTTCTCATTTTCAATGTTTAAGGTATATTTTTATTTCTTCATGGATCTCATTTTCAACCTATTTATTGTTTATTAAAATATTATTTAGCCTATATGTCTTTGTATTTTTCAGGATTTTTTTTTCTTGTGATTGATTTCTAGTTTCATACCATTATAGTTAAAAGAGATATTTGATACAATTTCAATATTCTTAAGTTTATTGAGAAATTTTTTGTGTCCTAACATGTGGTCCATCATAAAAAATATTTCTTGCATATTTGAAAAGAATACATATTTTTCTGCTTTGGTTTGAAATATTCTGAGGATACCAATTAAAGCCATCTGATCTAGTGTGTCATTTAAGGAAACTACTTCCTTATAGATTTTATGCCTGGAAGATTTATTCTTTGATGTCCTTCGGGTGTTAAAAATCCCTACTAAGACTATTACTATCAGTCTTTCCTTTTTAGTCAATTAACATCCATTCTAAATATTTAGGTAGTCCTGTTTTGGGTGCAGAAATATTAACAAGGGTTATATCCTCTTATTGGATTGCACCCTTTGTCATTATGTAGTGTCCTTCTTTGTATCTTATTAAATCTAGGAGGGAAATAATCAAGATCAGAGCTGAATTAAATGACATAGAGACTAAAGGAAAAATTCAAAGGATGGATAAATCCAAGAGTTGGTTTATTTAAAAGATAGATAAAATTGACACACCTTTAACCAGACACATCAAGAGAAAAGAGAGAGAGGGCCCAAATGAATAAAAACAGAAACAAAAGAGGAGAAATTTCAACTGATACCATGGAAATACAAAGGATTGTAATAAATTAATATGACCAATTATATGCCAAGCGATTTGAAAGCATGGGCAAAATGGATAAATTTCTAGAAATATATAATCATCCAAAACTGAACCAGGAAGAAACAGAACACATAAACAGACTGATGTCAGCTGATGAAATTGAAGCAGTAATCAAAAAACTCCTGGCAAACAAAACCTCTGGCCCAGTCGTTTTCACAGGAAAATTTTACAAAATATGTAAGGAAGAGATAGCCTTTAAACTTCTCAAACTATTCCAAAAAAATCCAAGAAGAGGAAAAGTTCCAAAAGTCTTTGTATGAGGCCAGTGTTATCCTAACCCCAAATCCAGAGAAAGACACAACAAAGAAAGAAAACCACAGGCTGATATCTCTGATGAACATAGATGCTAAAATCCTCAACAAAATATTGGCAAACCACATCCACCAATATATTAAAAAGATCATACAGAATTATCAAGTGGAATTCATCACAGGGATGCAATGTTCATACAATATTCAAAAACCAACATAATACAATGCATAAAGAAAAGGAAAGACAAAAATCACATGGTCATATCAATAGATGCAAAAAAAGCATTTGATAAAGTACAGTACCAATTTATAGTATAAAGACTCAACCCCAGCTAGTGTAGCTCCATGGATTGAATTTAGGCCTGCAAACCAAAGGGTTACTGGTTTGATTCCCAGTAAGGGCACATTCCTAGTTTGTTTGCCAGGACCCAGTGGTGGGCGGTGCTCAGGAGACCCCACACATTGATGTTTCTCTCTTCTCTTTCTCCCTCTCTACCCCTCTCTAAAAATAAATAAATAAATATTTAAAAAATAAAAAATAAAAACAGAAATGAGGGAGTAGAGGGAACATACATACCTCAACATAATCAAGGCCAAATGCCAGAAATCTACACCCAACATCATACTCAAAGGGCTAAATTTATAAGCTTCCCCTCTAAGATCAGGAACAAGACAAGGGTGTCTGCTTTCACCACTATTATTCAACATTGTATTGGAAGTTCTAGTCACAGTGATCAGAGAAGAAAAATAAATAAAGGACATTTAAATTGGAAAGGAGGAAGTAAAATGGTCATTGTTTGCAGATGACGTGATATTGTATGTAGAAAACTGTATGGACTCCACCAAAAAACTACATGACACAATAAATAAATTAGTCAAAAAAGTGGGATACAAAGTCAATATTCAGAAATTGAAGGCATATTCATATACCAACAATGAAATATCCTAAACAGAACTTAGGAAAAATCACATTTGCTTTAGCACCAAGAAAAAATGAAATACCTAGGTACAAACCTAACCAAGTAGGTAAAAGACCTATACTCACAAAACTACACAACACTGAAAAAAGAAATTAAGGAAGACACAAAGATA